ACATGGTATGATCTTAGTAGCAACCATCATTTCACTGTGGCGGTGGCGGTGGAGATGTATTGATGACAGGAATTTAGATAATATGTACCCCCCCCCCACCAAACACACCGCGCCTACGAGTGAGGATCTCTATTTTTCTTTCTCAGCGAGAATAGACAGCCAAATTGGTCAATACTTAACAATGGAGAGAAAAGTACCTAATGGAGAGAAAAAGGAAAAAAAGTAAAGGAAATGGCTGGTTGATATAAATTTTGTTGTTTACTAATTTAGAGTTAGTACTAAACTACATGCCTATATTTAAGTCTAGATAACCTAGATCTATTCAGTTGTTAGACTGTGACCTAATCGGACATGAGAACCTGGATGGAAATGTGCCTCTATGTATAACTGAAGTATTATTACTACTAATAAAGAAGGAAGCATAGCCCCAGGAATGGCTTAACTGCTTAAGCTAGAGGTATAGTGGATTGGTGCTCTAACACTCACGGGAGTCTGATGCCCTTGAACTTCAATTTGATTGAAATCCTAGAGGTTATATTAAAAACTTGTGTTTACAACCCTATCTTCTGAAAATGAAACTGTAACAGGCCTCATGCATAACCCCCAACCTTTGACCCCTTTTGCACTGTTGTTTCCAACCTTTTCTCTTTCTTCTAAACCCTCAAGATTCCATCTTTAGATGCATTTGGTCCTTAAGGGTTTCATTTGAAACCACCGTTAAACTGATGTGAAAATGCAAATTTTGCGTAGGGTTTTAGATAAACAAAAATTTACTGGGAAAAAAAGGAATCTTCTTTGCCAACCCTTCAGCCTCCCAATTCCCCTGCAGCAAACTTCTTGCATCCCCAAACATCCACCCATCCGTTCCCCCAACCTTCAGCCCCGATTCCCACGGCCCTCACATTCGGCAACACTCCATTATTGGAATATGGGACATGAGGTTCTGGTTCTTTACTAATGAGCGGGCTTTTCCATATATTGGAATATTTTGTGGAAGAAAGGATACAAAACCATTTGAAAGTCCCATGATCATTATGGGAATTAAGTGAACTAATTGCAGGGCCATCTTGAATGGCTTCAAGTTGATTGCCCTGGACATGGTGATTTCAGGGGAGATGGGATTCTGGTTAGGAGGTGTAGAGAAGCTTGGTGTTGCAGGGGGATGCCTGGTGGTATGCATTGCAGTGGAAGTGGGATGAGGGTGAAGTCTTGAAGAAGTAGATGATGTTTTTCATTTCCCTTTGCTACTTTTACAGAGTCTATTTATTAAGCTTGAGGCCTAATTTGTCTATTAATGCCAGCTATGGAACCTGTCGCTATGGACTAAATGTGCCTAAAATTGGAAGTTTGGGGGCTTAAGAAAAAGATTGGGGACGTGGGGTCAAAGATTGGGGGCCATGTATGCAATTTCGCAATTTGAGAAACAAAAAGATCAACTTTGAACAACGGTTACCGTAATAAAATCTTGAGAAAGTATTAAATTTGACCACTAGAAGAAATAACATCCAGTATTTGGCCTTTTTTAGTAATGTTAAAATAATAAATGTTACCCAAGGTCTAGAATATTTTAGTTGGGCTCCATTTGTAATTAAAGAGATTAATTTTTGAATACCTCGACATTATATTATCAATTTTATCCATTACCACTGGTGATTTTGATTTCATGGTTACTTTTACTTTGATGGTTAAACCTCGTACCTCTAGTTTTGTTCTCACACCAATAGAATTTTCAAAATTAGTTGGTCCTCACAGATTGCCTGATTGGACTGTGTTTTGATGCATTTGTAGTAAATTGCACATCTTCTACTTGACATTTTCTTCAACTACTACAAAATAATTTCGCATATGCAGGTTGAAAGCAATGCACGATTGGTGACATGGGAAGATGGAAGCTTACAATTGTTAATTGGAGAACAAGCGTTTATGGTTTCTGAGCTAGACACAAGGGAAAATCAGGCGCACCTTTTCCAGAGACATAAAAATGTACCTTATAAAGCCTTCACTAGCACGTGTTAAATCTTTGGTGTTGATAAGGCTTTGACTCCTTCAAATAGTTGTGATAGTCATAATGATTGTATAAGAAATAGCTTGGATGATTGTGTTTCTCTCAACTGTAATATTCATTATCTTAACTCTGAAATTTATCTACTATGCAAAAATTGCAGGGAATTCTCCAATCACAAGGGAGAATCTCAAAAAAACTGCAGTTTCTGCCAGCATCTGATTCTCAATTCTCAGCTATTCTTGATGCAACAAGAAATAAAAATGTCAAAGTCAAAAGTTGCACTGCTGATGTCATCTCTCAATGGGAGTTGGAAAACAAAAAGAAGGTAAAAAAAATTAATTAGCCACGAAGTTGGTAGACTATGTACACTTCCTGAATATTCATATTGACTTGTTTTGATGACTTAATAGATGGAGAAGCAGACATATCGACCTAATAAACGACTTGGTCAGATGGGCAAAGGGATTCACAAATGTGGACAAATTGTCAGCCAGGAACATCGAGTGCCACCAGGTTTGCTGAAGGATCTAATGGTGAGGTCTTATTCTGTCTCATTTTCTTTGCATAAAAATGTCGGGAAGTATGACAATAATCCCAAGACAAATTCATGTTTTATTTTTGTCATGAGTATCTAGCTATAAATTATGGTTAACTTTTATTTGTCAGCGTCTTCTAACATATAAATAAGTAAATAAATGATAGAAAGGAAATTGACCATTTGTTTTTCCATTATTAGTCTTGTTTTCTCTATGAAAATAATTATAGTTTTGTCAATTTTATTTCAATCAGGATTATGAACAAGATTTTCGTGAACAACAGTCTGCTGCACAACACTTAAATGAGAACAGAGAAAATGAAGCTGGAGCGTCGGTCTTCACATTTAATGGAAAAAAGGCAAGTCATTTATGTCACACCCCCCATCCCAACGGGGGCACTTTCCAGATTCTGTATGTTAGAATATGCCCTTCTCGTTTCATTGGAACATCTACTGAATTCTCATCTCAGGGACCAAAAAGTCCTCTGAAATTATCATTTCCAGATGCCAAATCATCTCAAGGTCCGGAAGACTTGCTTGGAAGTCGGAAAATGGTGGATAAGTAAGAGGAAAAACTATGGTTGTTCGTCATCACATGGAAGGTTTAAGGAGACAAAGCAGAAATGAGGAAGAGACTTATGAAGATTCAGAAGTGGAGGCTGAGTTAAGCAACATTTTTTCTAAATAGATATTCGTTTCCAACTTATAATGCATGTAAAATGATAAAGAAATGTTCTAGAAAGTTCTTCTCTACATTTCCTTTCGGTCTCTTACAAACTATTGATTATCTTGTTGTCACTGAGTTTTTCTGAACAAAGTCCTAAAACATGCACTGTTCTAGTGTTTATTATGCTTCTTTATTTCTATGTGAAGTTTATTGCTGAAGTAGGACAATTTTTATTTTTATTTCACAGGTTCGTTTATTGCGCTATGAATGTGACAGTCTTATCATTTTGAACGATAGAAATTTGCTCTTCGAGGGCATCAACTGAAGTTAACTAGGAACAAGCAATAGAAGTTGTTTCTGATACCGTAAAATGTGGTTAATTTTTTCCTTACAAATTACTGAGGCACATTACTATTTTCAAAGGAAAGCTATGGATCTGTCGTTGAATGGCAGTTGTGCATGATAGAGACTGTGCATAAGATCTCTTTTAGAAATCTAAAGGTTGAACCCCAACCTTGAGGGCCCCCACCGCTCCGTTCCTAGAGTTTTGTGAGGGAGGTAAATCGTGGGATGTGCCCCAACAGGTCAGGGGACAAGAGCTGCCTGTACACTGTGCCTACAAGAAGTCCAATTTCATGTCTCAGGAATCGAATCCCTACACTACGGCTACCAGTAAGGCATGAGATAACCTCACTCCTATCCTTTGTACCACTGGACTATGTCCCGAGGGGCCTCTTTTAGAAATCTGTTTGTACAAGCATTGACCTCTGCTTTCTATGTGACTGTGTTGCAAATATGTGCGTCTTGACGTCTTTAAGTATGCGTATATATACATGCACTTTATGTTTGTAGTTCAGTTTTTGAGCATTTCTCTTTTCAAAGTTTCATGGTCAAAATTTGGATGTTATTTTCTTTGCGCAAGTTTTGCACAAAAATAAAATTGTAGTAGAATCATTTTTATTTTTTTGCACAAGTTTTGCAAGTCACGTACAATCGTTTTTGTAATTTTACAACTATCCTCGCTTTTGTTCAATTATAAATAAATAAGCACTTTGATGGAGATTTGTAGCATCATTCAAGTAAATATAGATTGAAATCCTAGAAACATGAGCTGAGTTTTCGCACACTGCACAAGTTTTGCACAAGGAGTGCACTAGTTTTTGACCGCTATTTTCTTACCTCCTAAGAGCATTTTCAATAGGCTCGTAATTAACATTATTTTTTATTTTTATTTTGGAGTGTCAAATCTCTTTTTTAGGTGTCCAATACACTCTTTATCTTCAAAATTAAATAAAAAGTGAATTTGAGCTTTCAAATGTAGGAAGTCAAATTCATTCTCTATACAATAATTCATTTACTATTTTATAGTTTAGTAGTAGAGCCTGCCTCTGATAATTGTTGTGAGGGCTTCCCTAACACCTCAACTATAGTTTTAGTGTGAAGAAGGCGAAGGCAAGCATTATACGGTCCCAACACCTTTATTAGTGGAAGATGACTTGTCTGTCCTTGCCTAGCTTTTTGTTTTGAGATTTACTCATTCAATTCGTAAGTGAAAAGTGACGTTGTATAGCTTCTAAAAAAGTACACTGCACGCTAAGTTGCATCGAAACTTCAGAAAGTATATATTGAATACTATATCAAATGATTAGTGACGACTTGATCTATTTGTATTTTTTTATATGACAAATGGAAGAATTGATTCCACATTGAAGAAAGAATCAAATACGATCTCTCCATTCGGTAGGATTTTAGGGGTCCAAGCACTTATTTGTTGAGGAGACATTACAATTTTTATTCAATTCTTTAATTTTTACAAAATAAAAAACAGAGAAGTGACGATAATTACTTAAATGTAATAGCAAAATAATGAATAAATTATAGAATACTCTTTATATCATAGAAGATACTCTTTAAAATAAAGAGCAATATTACATATGCTCCAAGGTTTTTTTTAGTAAAATTCAACTTACGAGCAACGAATTTGGTTCTCATCTAGGCACGGAAGTCTGTCTGTCGGTATATTTTTCACAATGAAGCATTAACGTTCCCATGTAGATTATATGCATGTCTTCAAACGATTCCTTTAAAGATCCAATTTTTAGTAATGACACAGGAGACTTCTGGGTTGTACATTACAATTTTGTTACCTTAGCGAAAACATGAAAGTGGCTGCAAAGGAAAAATAAAAATAAACTCAGGAAATGATGTATCTGCCTTAAAAAATAACGATACAAGCTCCTAATTGAACAAAAATATATAGAATCAAACATCGACGGGAAAAAAAACCACAACGAACTTTCTCATAGCATTTGCTTTACAGTGCTGGACACAAAATTGATAAACGAGTGCATAACATTCCATTGCCATTCGATTATTGTCATTTCAGAAATCACTTATACACCTTAAACCACTTTATTTTCCGCATCACCACAAGAGAGGGTTAAAAAACAAGTCTGATGTACTAAAATATTGAAACTACTTGATTCCCTTGCACATTCGATTCCTTTAATATATCAAGAAAGCCATTGAATGTGCATTTTAAAAGCTATTACACCATCAAGCATTCTTGTTTGCCTGTTTACGAGCTTCTTCTCGCATTGTTGCTTTTACGTAGATCTCATAGCAACACCCTGGTAACAAGAAACATCAAAAACAAAGGGTAAAAACAAGTTTGCCATAATGCATATTTGTATTTGAGATTTACTCACGTTTTATGCAAATTGTCAATTGCACATATAAATCCTTTTATCCTTGAAAGCAAAAAATAAAAAAATGCAGGTAGATAAAACTGAAATAACATTTCCGAAACATATCAGAATATAGAAATTGAAAGTGATGCCCAAACAATCTGGATGCTAAACACAAAAGTGATGTAAAGCATAAGAGCATCTGAGTTTCAACCCATCAGTGGCACCGCAACAATACACATTCGTAAACTTTCAACATTGTGAATACTAAGTTGACAATCAATTTCTTATTGTTCAATCCAAACATTTTGATAAATTTTAAAAGCACTTAAACGTGTTTTTCTTCTTTCCCATTGAAGAACATGTAACATAATCCAAAGTAAAAAGGGTTTTAAGTAACCAAAAACAGCAAGTTATCCATATTTGCAAACAGTGCATCAAATTTCATGTCACGGAACTTTTAATGATAAAGGTTTTATTATTTTATCTGTTGCTAGCATTCGGGTCATCTCCTAATACAAGAATTCTAAATCAGTTGTTGCTAGGGGATAAGTTGGCATGAAACAATAGTATAGCACACTCAGTACAAGTTATCAAGGAGGATTAGCATACCGGCTACAACTATGATGGTCAGAGCATCTCCGATTATTTTGAGGCGCCGCACACTTTTCTTATGAGATTTGAAGCGTTTTAATGCTGGGTCCTCCGCTAAGAGCTGAAACAATGAGATTCTTTTAAAATAAGGCACAATACTACAGTAAGGCAAGAATTACTCGCTGAAAGGTGAGAAAAGGGACCCAAGAAAAGGGACCCAACACACACGCACACAGCCACAAAGAGAGAGAGAGAGAGAGAGAGAGAGAGAGAGAGAGAGAGAGAGAGAAGAACTAAATGAATCGCTACATATGGTTCCATTATGTAATAATACAGATCAAGGTTTGGAAGAAAAATATCTTCTGTGAACATAATCGCAGCGATGCAGTAGTGAAGTCTTGGTATCAGAATAAAGCATCCAACCAACATTTTTCTAACCCCCTGGGGCAGCAAAGGACATCTAAAATTCCACTGTCCACATGTTTCCAACTTATAAGAAAGGTGCGGTTATCATGATCTGAGATTCTCTAGTGATGTTTTAACATTTGCATACACACCTATAGGCATAAGGGAATTTCAAACCTCTTTAAGATCCTCACTTGTAAATTGACCACTCGGCAACTTCTTATTTGAGAGTTGGATAAGATTATTTCGAATAAAATCATCGATTATGAAAAGTGGATTACCGATCTCCATAAACACTGTTGTATAAATTTTTGGAAGCTCTTCCGCTTCTTCATCTCTTCATGTTCAAAAAAAAAAAAGATCGTTTAGATTTGATGGGACCCAATTTCATCCGTTTTTTTTTCCCAAAACTTAGACTTGTAGCATAACATAGATATCTATTTCGAAAAATATGACCTAACGTGTAATTTCCGCTGAACATAAAGGAAAAAGTTCTTATGCCTGCAGAAAATGATCTGTGGGTAAATGAATTCTAGCTAGTTTCAAATATATCAGGATCGCTGGATGGTTAAAATGTAAAGTCGGTGGATCTATAGGTATATCAATATGTATAGTGGGCTCATATGAAGGGTATGTTATTATTTTAAATCTAACCAATTGGATGAATTACTCCTAAAGGTTCATATCAAACTAGTGCTAGTTCTGAGGTCCCTGGGGAAGAGGATCAAGTTGGCCCTTGGGAACAGCTTGATGCACTATCTCCTTTCAACCCTTTGAGCAAAATGCGGCAAAAGAAAAGGAAGGAAAATCCATGGACCGACCCCATCATCTCCACCCCGTAGGAACTACGAGATCTTGATTGTGGAATATCATTGAGAAATAGGAATCCGTGTTATCAAAGGATTTCTTGCGATTATTTCTAGTATGGAATGAGTCAATCATCCACTTTGGGATCTTATTAAACAAAAAGGGTGATATTGTTCCTCCATTGATCAAGAATTTCGATTTTCGGGAAGTATCATGATCATCCAATAAGAAGGGTTTCCATTTTTTCAAATAAACAACTTGAAGACCTATTGATTCTAACAACTGATTGCAGAGTTGATCATTCGAACCTTTCAATTCATAGATGTAGATCTCGGATCTATGAATGAGGAGGCCATCGAAAAGCTATTGAACATCGTGAATATTTTTGGCATTGGGATAGCTATTCCACCCATTTTGTCAAGATAAACAAGACGTATTCTATCATAAGTCGTTCCTGCCAAGAAAAAAAGTGCAGCACCAATAAATCCATGAGGGATTATTTGTAATTATGAACCAATATGAGATTATTTGTGATAGAACCAATTCCTATAATTATGAAACCCATATGAGATACAGAGGAATAGGCTATTCTTTTTTTTAAATTCCGTCGACGGAGAGATGTTGAAGCTGCATACATTATAAAAAGAATGCAGTTTGCATACAAGAAAGCAACCTCTTTCCATATATGTTCAGCCAACAAATGAGTAAAACTTCGGCTCTAGTCAACTGTATAGACGACTAACTATTTCGATAAGCAAACTAAAAAACATGAAAATCAACGAATAATGTTAAAAATTGATTCAATTTCGTTCCACCGTAAGGGTTAAAAAGCTATCAAAGGAGTACGATCAGTCAGAAAAAACAATAAGCCTCTGTTTGGTTTAAGCTAAAAATCAGATTTTTTTAGTAGATTTTGATAAAAGTTGATGAAATATGTAATTGAAAAGTTGATAAAGTTATGGGTTTCATGAAATGTGTGGTGCTAAAATTAATTATTGATTTTGAATTAGATTTTTAGCGACTTTTTAAATTAAACTAAACAGGGGGCTAAGTGGCAAAATATGACAGAAGATGAAAAATGGAAGAACATGCGGTGGCCATTCAGTATCAGCTTAGCAGAACTACGTCACCAGCATCTGGTTATGAAATGTTAAATAAATCATTAGATGTCAAAGGGTCCAAGAAAAGACTCTAAATGCAGATACTTAAACTCTAAAACGAGACAGTTTATTGGATTTGTGAGGATAAGATATACAAAGAAGCTTAGGACCAGTCCTCAGAACGTTTCCTTTAAAAAACAAAAAACAAAAAAAAAAAAAATTAGGCGAAGCGATGTAAGAATGATAAGAACGTGAACTAATTTACTGAAACCCAATTAGCTATCCAAGTAAACAGAAGAAAAATATTCAGAGCTTGTTTAGTAGTAATTATGAGAATCAAATTTTTAACTGTTTGAGATAAAAGTAGGTCTCACCTGCGAGTGAAGAATTCAAAAATAACGACCGACTTAGAAAAGTAACGGTCAGAAGATTGATTTTTTGGTGTGAAGAATCAGAACCAAACGAGGTCTCGAACTATCTCAATTTCATGTTTTTAGCACTAGTGAGCCTAAAAATCAGATTATATACACCAATAGGATGGAATCATTCAGTACGTCCATGGACATGGTAGAAAACAACCGTCACTATAGACGACCAAAAACAAAAAAAAACAAAGCTCATTCTCAATAAATTTGGAATCGACTAAATGAATGCAGCTAGATCCTTCTACACATTTCTTGCAATAGCCTAAAAATCCACTCATGTTTATCTATAGGAGGTGCAGCCCAGATTGATAAGAATAGCAATAGCCAATATGTAGAAAACCAACATCAAACTTTGTCAAATCTATTACACAAATCCCAATATGCATTTCATGCATCTTGATAAAAGCCAAAATAAAAGATAGGAAACCCATCCAATAGAATAAACTGCCTCAACTGAGGCCACAAACAAGATACTTTCCCCAGTCCTTTGAAAACCCATGCATTCTTAAATCATCGAACTCTCATATATTTGCTAAGAGACGAAGGAAAATTGATTTTCCTTGGGCCTTAAAATAAATTAGATGCCAAAAGAAGAAACTTTTATTGTAGCAGACCTGCAACACTAGGTCATCGAAGCATCGAGAAACCTAAAGCTAGGTTTGCTACATAATAAGTTAGGAACTAGAATTATAATTAAAAAAATTCCATAAAAATTTGAACTCAATCTATGGGCACTGGGGACTTGATTTTTATTCAGATCTAATCTCAAGCACAGAAATTTTTAGTTCCAATTATACAAGCTAAGGGGAGAAGTACTCACAGCCTTCTCACGAGTCCCAGGTTCGACGTGAAATCCGCGCCTTGATAGCGTTAATGAATTATCAGCCTTCTGCAGTAAAATTTTCATTAATAGCCCACCAATTTTGACATTCCATTTCCACAATCTACCTCAATAAACAGATGTATATATGAAAAATTAGCCTAACAACAGCACATAAACAATATGCATGTACCTGGGAATGGATTCTGAGTTTAGAAAGAGCAGTTTCCTTCAGTAAAAATGCCATTCCTTTCAAGAATTGACCAAAAAATGTAGAGGGAGCCACCCGAGATGGTAATCTGAGACTGTTGAAAGTGCTCCGCAATTATTGATGGGGAAAATACCACTATTAGTGCCGTTTAAAAATGAAAAGGAAAATTTGCACATTTGTCCCCAATCTTTGGAAACTCTTACTGATGTATCCCCAACTTGAAAAATTAATGGAATTGTCCCCAACCTTTAGCGACCTTTGCAACATTGGTCGTTTTTTAATGTTTTCCGTCAATTCATCAATTAAAGCAAGACATGGATTGCATTGTATCATTTCCCTCGACAATTGAGTAACATATTTGTGTCCATGACCTAACCCAACCTTAATATTTAACCAATAGGTTTAGTTCCTTTACTGTACATATTTAAAAGGTTTGATATCTTTGATACTAATTCTTTTTTTTTTTTAATAAATAAAAGGTTAAAAGGCCATTTTACCTTTTTGTAAAATTGGTCAAATTATGGTATGACTTTTGGTCAACTAACGAATTTATAGTAGTCCTTTTGTTCGATCAGTTTGAAAAGCTTGGGGACCAATGATGCTACAAATTAAAGGTTTTGATAAATCTGTACATTTTTGAAAAGTTTGAGACAATCGCTATAATTATCTCTTAATTTTAAGAAATGTTTGAGACTTACCAATTTTTTTTAATAAAAAAAACTTAACCCAGAATTTGGAATTTCAATGTTCATCTTAGCTGTGATACAGCAGACATTAAAATCAGATTTGAAGTAAATTTTAATAAAAATTAATGGAATGAATGGTTGAAAAATTGTGTATTCTATGAAATGTGATATTAAAATTAATTATTAATTTTGATTAGACTTTTTATCGATACCAAACGAGAGCTTAATGTATAATATCATTATTTATAATTACATTATGACAAACAAAACATTAAAGCTTCAACCGAACATTAGGACATATCCAGTACACCATATTGGACTCGATTAAACAAGATAATAAATGAACAAACATGTCATATATCTTTGTCTAGCGAACTTGATCTACGCAACATGAACTCCAAAACTGAAAACATACATCCCAAATGACCAAATTCTCGAACCCAGATCTCAAGCTACGAACAATCTACAACCCGACGAGACAAACACCTTGTAAAACAAGCGCGCCCGGGTAACATCATGGTCGATAGGCCTAAGGGCACTTAGTCTTGTTCCCATGGGTGGTCATATCAGTGTAACACTTGCCACAAAGCTCTCGATTGCCAAAGGTCCCCGGTGGCACACATTTGCACCTCACACAGCACGTCCCACAGGCTCGAAGACATATTTTTGGCCTTGAATGCAGACTGCATCTATGGTTGCACAATCCTTTGCAGTTGATGTGGCTCGGTTGTGGCGAAGGAGCTGGAGCAAGAGCCAGAAGAAGCCGCCCTTTACTGAAATATTTCGAGATCCGAACCACTGCCACAAGAAAAATGTCACGCAAGTGTTCGACTTTGTAGAGTCTAATTATATCTTAGGTAGTTTTGAGATAACTGACCTATGTCGTGCATTAGCCCTCTTTCTTCTCCTCTAGTGAACACCTGCAAAGTTAGAAATTAAAACACCAATTACGTCAAAATTCGTTGAAAGATCTATGTCGATTACAAGAAGTTCGAATTGAACAATGTGTTATGACGATGAAGAAATAATTAAAAGAGATTACATGTAATGCCTGGCTGACATGGATCATTTCTCCATCATTCTGGGGATCACAAGAAACCTGAATGAAAGCAAATAATATACATAATTAGTAACAAAATAACACTCTCGACTTTAACTAGGTTTTTTATATAATAAATGTCGAGTCTACCGTCTGTTAAAAATTTAAATATTTTTACCATAGCAATGGACAAAAGCAAAAGAAGCACCGCCAGAGTCACTCTTATCGCCATTTCTGAGTAATGTACCGTGACAAGAGCCACAGCTAATTTATAGAGGGAAAATTTGTTACCAAAAGTTCCAAAAGTGCCCTTTTGGTAACAACTTGTTATGATTATGAAACCCTAGACATGTTCACACCTCTCATACGTGGGATGTTGCAATTTTGTAGACGTCTACATCTTATTACATAAATGAAAAAATGTAGCAATTGGTTGGTACGTGATTTTCCAATTTTACGACATATGAGTCCGCAATCTTCATTTTCCTGTGCAAAGAGGGTAGGTCTTTTCGATGGTCTCTACCCAAAGTCGACGTTAGTTGACAAACTTGTAGGACTTGATTTCACCGCAAAATATTTCAACATAAAAATTCTTTCATGGGTAGGTAGATTTGCTATAGAGGATTAATACCCGGAAATCTTTGTCCACACTATAAATATATATTTTGCTACTTTGTCCGAATTCTTCTATCTAGATGGTTGACATTCTTTCACATATCGTGAGTTCTGCATGAATAAAGAAGTCCAAAAAAAAAAGAAGTTGGGATTCCGACATTGTGAGAGTCAGTCATCCTCTCTATCACCAAAATTCGGACGAGAACCAATTTTCCAGTGAGACAATAAGTCAGGCACTAATGGTAGTGCAATATTTCTAAAAGTGAATGATTTTTCACGGATATGGACAAAAGGGTCGTTCCCTTTCCTGTCTCCTTAAGCTCTGCAATCCGCATGGAAGAACAGGAACTCGCTATATACCTTTAATTGCAGCCAGCTGGTTATGCGGTGGACGAAACAATTAATAAATTCAAATCATGAAAGTATATATAAATTATTTTTGCAGTTTCTTTGTAGATTAATTTAGAGTGTGTTTGGTAGGAATTTTGATAATTAATTTTTTGATCGTTAGAAATAAAGTGAGTTTTATCTGTGATAGGAGAATTAAAAAATGACGATTGAAATAATAAAATAACGATAAAAAAGATGATTTTAATTGACTTAAAATCTAAAACAAACAAGCACTAAGAAAGATTCAAAATAACTAGATTCTTTATCGAGTAGTGGAAGCAATTTTGTTGCTTTTTTTTATTAGTATGGTGCCACCGACACCGACTTGATCCTAACAACTTTAACTCATTACTCAATATTAATTTTATTTTTCTAATTTGATTATTAATTTTAACTTAAAATTTAATCAATTTTTTAACTGAACATAAAGGGGCTAAAAGTTATTGATAAGTATTCAGATTGGTCAAAGTAGCCCAAGCTGAGGGATAAAGCTCTTTTTAAGTGGGCTTCATGTCTTTTAATGCAGATAGAATTGAACTGCCTTGTTGTATACCTACAAATTGTCACTTCACACTCTCAATCATAGGTTTTCATATCCAGCTGTCTTTAAGGTGTAAACCAATTCACATTTTTAAGCACTCACATTATTTAAAAAAAAAGTACATTTTTAAATAGTGATTTAACATTATTTCAATTAAATATTTTTTAATAAAATAATATTATATGCAAATCATTTCCTTATTTTTTAACCACACATTTTTCATTAATACACTTTTCAAAAATGGATTCTTATGAAAATAATGTGGCTCAAACTAAGGTTCAAGGTGTCCCAACCCTACCTTCATCACTATTTTTTTTTTTTTTGGGTCTCTATGACTAGAGGTGTAAATTGAGTTGAATTAAATTTAATTTCATTATAAGTTATTAAAATTATATTTTGATAAAAATGAGTGATCAAATATTAATTTTTGTAATTATCTTACATCTCAAAATTAGTCCCATGTTTGGGAACAATTAAATTTGGATTAATAGGAAAAATTCGATCTTTGGTGGTCAAATATAGGCCTCGTTTAGTCCCCATTAAATTAAATTTTATTTTTTCACTTTTATTTTCAATCGCATAATTATAAATTAATATTATACGTTAATCGAAATTTTTTTATTCTTTTTCAACCACGCATTATCTAAAAAATATTATTTCACCCATTAGAATTTAAAATAATGGAGCCAAATGGGGGCATAAATTCTTTATTCCAACAAAAATTAGACTCATTTTCAGACAATTGCAGGGTCGATAATTCATGCGAAAAATATCTGTACGGGTGATCATATTGTCCTATACGGTGCAATCGTCGAATGGGAAGCCATTACCTCATTGAGGTGGCCCATCTCATCTAATGAAGTGAGGCCACTTCAGGACTTGATTTTTTTTTTTTCATCTCAAATCTCGAGGTGGCTTCACTTTATTGGATGATGATGGACCATCCGATGAGGTTGTGGCTCCCCATTCGATGGTCGTACCAAGTAGGATGGTGCGATCATCCTACTTGGTGTGACTATCCCATCAAAGTTTTTCTCATAATTCATTGTTTGATCAATTATCAAGAGCGTGTTTGGTGGAGATTAAAATTAGATTTTTTAGTAAATTGATATAGAAATTTTTGAAATGTGTGATTGAAAAATTGTGAAATCCATAGAAGATGTAATTAATATTATTTTTTTGATTTTAATTTAAATTAAAATTAGATTTTAATACAAACCAAACAAGTTGCAATTTGCACTTGTTTTCATTCATTTCCAGATGCAATAAGGAGTGACTTTGACTGTGTGTGGTTATTAAAGTCATCCGCTATAATGAAGTCGGCATAATTTAAACATGGTGGGGCCCATGACTTGCTATCAAAATCAAATTTTCTCCACCATAATCGTAATTGTTCTCTCGTTTTTTATTTTTTATTTATTTATTTTTTTCTAGAATCACTTATTGGAGAGTTTTAAAGTAATTTAATAGGTATCTTCTTATATATTTTTTAGTTCAATTGTAAATATTTAATTTTTTATATACGGTGAAGTTTGATAAATCCTCGATGTCAATTTTTTTTTTTTTTTTTATATGATCGTGGGTGTCCAGATCAATTTACACGCACCTCGACTAATTTCACAGGGCCATGAAGTTTACAATCGAACACTCGTTTCAATGACTCTGAGGAGACTCAAACTGATGACTCAAGGAGCAAACCTAAAAGCTAACCATTATGTCTTCTATTAAATAATTATTCCATTTTCATGATCAGTAATAAAATAAAATTCTTCTACTTTCATCCTCAGTCCCTATTTGACAATCATTAATTTTTTTTTTAAAGAATTCATTTTAACGAGGTATTTTCACAATAATATATACTGTACGTAGATTTGAAACATCTTTCCTACTTTTTAACCATACATTCTTCAAAAAATCACTATTTCAAAACTCATTTTTCCCAAAAAAAAAAAAAAAAAAAAACTCATTATATAGTTGCTGAAAGGGCTTAACATAGTTAACTTTGGTTTACATCTACGTTTCTATTCTTCTTTAATAGAGATACTTTATAAAAAAAATTATAATAATTTTTTATTACGGCATTTCTCGTGTGTTTCTATAAGGAACTTCTGTCTTAGGGGTCGTTCTCATAGTTTTATATTTAATTTTTTTTATAATTTTTCAAAACCTTCTGTTAAGAATTATGTTGGGACAGGCCCGCTTTCTATTTAAGTCAGACTTCAAATAGACCATTTGGGCTCCCATGTTAATCTCCAGTTCCTTTTGTACAGATTTACTGATTGAGGTTTACTTTTAGGCCCAATTCCAGATTGTCCCTCCTTAAACTTTGGCCCGTTATTTTAATTAATGGTGAAATTTCACGGTTTGTTGGAACTCCATTTTCTGGAAAAATAGAGTTTATAAAAGTGATTTTTTGGAGAATGAATGATTAAAAATTGTGATTTTTTTTAATTAACATGTAAAATTATTTTATTTAGAGAATATCTGATTGAAAATGAATTTGAAAAAAAAATAAAGATCAAACCGGAGCTCAATGTCAAACTTGTTGTGCGCATAGCAATTTTGACTTTCAATTAAAAAAAAAAAAAAAAAAAAGGTTAACGGATGGCTATATCATCTAATTTCGACTATAGCTCAGATGCCTTATTGATCAGGTGAGTATCAATGTTGTCTATAATTCAAGCGTCAATCTCAATAGAAAGCTAAGGATATCCAGCAAATCAAAGCTGGTCGAAAGGGAAATTTGTATCATATATGAATGATTTTGCAATAACCTAGTAGACATGAGTTGAGATCCTGGTGGTGGACCAAACAAGGCAGAAAAATTGAAGATGGGTTACACATAGTTCACCTAATTTAGTAAATCCGAAGCAAAAATTGTTGGAAAATATGGTTTAATGAGCCACTTTTGGCATAATTTTGAATGGGATCCGTTCGATCAATTTGAAAGTTCAAAGTTGATTCGTGTTCTTCTCCATGAGAACATCGAAATTATATATTTACTTGCCAAAAATAATATTTGGATGAATGAGAAATTGAAACTCAAAATTGATGCATTGGAAGAAGATTTTATGCTAAACAGAAAACTATGTATGGTTTGTCCCATATATAAAAAAGAACAAAGTAATGAACACTTTATATATGATTACACTTTGGAAAGATGCAATTATGTGTAGCATAGAAGCTCTCTTCATGCGCGCGCGTAGAGAGTCAAGATTAAGGACCAAATCAGAACTTCGGATCTTAAACTTGTGCGTGTGGGGGCAATCTTTTCGAGAGGTAATTTATATTTTAATTTTTTGATTCATTTAGATTGAAGTTGGGGGTTTTTCTTTTATTTATTATTTTGGGGTCGCCTTCAAATTTATTGCAATTCCGAGACTTATCCCCGAACAAAGCTTGGAGTACAGGTAGGGCTGGACATGGTCCGGTTCGGTTCGGTTCTAACGAGAACCGAACCGACCCAAAATTTTCGGGTATTTAGTAAGTGGAACCGTCGGGTCCAAATTTAATTACGGAACCGTTCGGGTTCGATTCCATTCGGTTCGGTTCGGTCTGGTTCGGTTCCATTCGGTTCCGTATTATAATTAAATTTTTTAATATATACAAAGTTACGTTAATTTAATTAATAATATATTTAATATTAGTTGTTACAAAATAACGTAGTTCAGTCTTATGTGTTTCACGTCTTTCTTTGCTGAATTCTTCAT